CAGAAAAGGGGAATTCAAAGCTTTTACAGACCACTCCTGGCCATTTACACCACATAAAACCAGGGCAAGGATCCCAACATCTTCCTTTGGATAGATGCCCAGCTCCACAAACACAGTCATAAATTGCCTCTTTCTACCTAAGTCCTCAGAAAAGAAGGAAACACCACCTTCAGTCTGACTCATCCCAGTAAGGCTTCTGCAGGCTAGAGCATGGCCCCACAAAGACCTGAAGCACTGCACAGGAGACTGGGAAAGCAGGCAGCTGAATAGAAAGCCCATAGAAACACACCTGGATACATGGCAGTGAAGAGTGCTTTGTTCAGGAATAAAGCAGCCTCCAGATATTATGATCAGGTTCCTTGAAATTATGTACATTTCATCTGACTGTGTGGTGGGCAGGGTGTATTGGTACACAGGTCTGTCCAAACCAGCTCTGTGCTGCTGAATGATGTTTCCAGCCCTCAATTCACTTCAGGCACAGTTGGGGCATCTCCTCCATCTGCCCCACTGCATGAGCCAGACATGCACGGAACCATCCTTGGGAGTCCTGCTGACATTTCTGTCAATCCTACCATATTATTTGAGCCACCTGCCCTTCCTTCAGCCCTAGGAATTTCACAGTGACCACTGCCCACCAGATCATGTCCTTACTGAAGAGCAGCATAAGGGTGATACACTCTCATGAACAGCCATCGCTGTCTCCCGGACTGTCCTTTGGGAAGCCCTGGTCTAAGATACAGGCACGGTACAAACCCTTTATGAAGCATGCCTACTGTTCAGAGCCCTCTCTTCCTGACATCTTTCTGTGCTAACCCAGACAAACTTGTGACACCTACTGTCAGAGACTCCATGATCCATATTAGCACTCAAATCCCAGGAGGGGGAAATAAAACAATCCTGAACGACAAGAGAAAAAGGGTGGCAAGAAGCTGAAGGCTATAACTGGCTGATAATTAGACAAGTTCAATTGTAGCAGGCTCCTGGAAAGCTCATCAGGAACAATCCCTCACATGGTTTCAGAAAATATGCAACAGGAAATTACAGCCTGAAGGCACTGTGTTCACTAGCAATTCCCAACCAAGGAAAAGAGAGACGACACAAACCAAAATAATTGCATAAGACTCCCTGAGCTTTACATGCAAGCTCTGCACTTGTCAAGGAAAGTGGGCAAGCAGCCAAAAGGGACACAATATGTCACTAATTATCAAATATAGGAGAGAAATAGCTGGCTTGTTGGAGAAACAATTCATAGAAACAGATGAAAATAGTATCTTTTATGATGGAAAAGACCTTTAAGACTATCAAATCCAGCCATGAATCCAGCACTGCTAATTCCAGCACTAAACCGTGCCCCTAAACTCTGAATCTTTTAAATATCTCCAGGGATGGTGACTCAACAGATTTCCTACAATTTAACTCTGTGTAGAGCAAGGCATTTGGTAAGGTATCTGTGGTGGAAGGGCAGGGGGAAATCCCTTCATGCTCCTTACACTTGGCATAGCTTTTGTATTGAGGCTTCTAAGAGGCGACTCAGCTGATGCACAGCACGGACACAAAGCATGCCAGGCACTCTCAGCTGCTTTGTGTAAGAAACATACAGGATAGGAGTTTGCCACTGTCATGAGGCAAATGAACCCTTCTTGTCAATCATACAAAAAAGCCAGCTCTCTGATGCAGAAGGTTTCTTCTCTATTTTGCAGAAAGCCTAACTCAATAGGGGGGAATGAAGAAAAGTGGAGGCAGGAGGAGTGGGGAAGCCATCTACATCCCCTATTGCAGCCTGCAAGGACACTGCTTTCCCTCACATGGGAGAAAGTACTCCAGGTCCAGCCAAGCTGCTCTGAAGCAGTGCTCCAGGTACTGATTCCCTCCTCTGTGTTCTGCCACTGCCAACACATCGACAGACACACACCAGTACATGAACAGGTATCCAGCATCATCTTCTCCCCGTGCCTAAGGCCAGAGAGGACGTTTAGCTACTGAGTTAGGACTACAAAACAACACTGAGAACTGTGTCAGCCAGGACACTTCAATAAAAGCAAGCTTTTTGTGAATTTCTATATTATTGCTTTATTTTCTGGCAGCTTAATGTGAATTTTGGCTGCAGGTGTGGGTGGACTTTCAGGTCCTGAGCCATAGCTACAAGTGCAGACACTGGGCTCACCAAAAAATGACAGAATATAAATTCAAAAGGACAGAATAAAGTGTCCCCATCACTTTGTCCTAACTGTATATCTGGGTGGGCTCAGTTAAACCCCTTCCAAATTGCATTTTCAGTCAAATTCGTGCAGCAGAGCCTCAAATCCCGGCCTGAGCTATTCCACCGGCTGCCGTGGGATTAGGAATCGGGGGCCGAGGCGGGATCCCAGCCTGAGGGGCAGTAGGATCCCAGTCTGAGGGGCGGTAGGATCCGAGCCCGAGAGGCGACGGGATCCCAGTCTGAGGGGCGGTAGGATCCCGGCCGGAGGGGCGGTAGGAACCGAGTCCGAGAGGCGGCGGGATCCCGGCCGGAGGAGCAGCAGGATACCAGCCGGAGGGCCGGTAGAATTCCGGCCTGAGGGGCGGCGGGAGCGCAGCCGGGGCCGGGCGGGGCCGGGCGGGATGCGCGGGGCTCGGCTGCCCCCTGCGGGCCGTGCCGGGAACAGCGCCGGAACACCGCTGGGGTGTTCCAGCGGGACCGGCGCGACGCGGAGTGTAGTGCTGGGAAAGGTAAGCTGTCAGATGCGGCGGACTACGCACTGGACTAAGCGGATATCTGATCGTGGAATCACGGAACGGTTCGGGCTGGGGGGAACCTTAAAGATCATCTAGTTACAATCCTCCTCGCCAGCCCCACCCGGCCAGGCTTTGAACACTTGCAAGGAAGCGTTCAAGGACTCACAGTTTCCCTGGACAACCTGTTGCAGTGCCTCACCATCCCCACAGTGGAGAATCTCTTCCTAATATCTAATCTAAACCCACCTTCTGTCAGTTTAAAGCCATTCCCCGCATCGCTACTTGCCCTCGTAGAAAGCCCTTCTCCATCTCTTATGCAGGTCCTTTTACACACTGGAAGGCTACAAAGCCTTCCAGGACACTTCTCTTTTTTGGGCTCATCCGCCCCATCTCTCTCAGCTTGTCTTCACAGGAGAGGTACTGCAGCCCCCTGATGATCTTCACATCCCTGCTCTGAACTCAGCCCAACAGCCCACATCCATTTTACACCAGAGGCCCCAGATGCTCCCAGATGCTCTGGGAGCAGGCAGAGGGTCTCCCCAGAGAGAGGGCCAGAATCCTCTCCCTCACCCTGCTGGCCACACTGCTTTGGATGCAGCTCAGGACAGCGTTGGCTTCCTGGATTGAGAGTGCCCATTGTTGGGTCATGATGAGCTCCTAGAAAACCAACATCATCAATTCTCCTCAGGAAGAGGTTTTGTCCTTTTGGGAAGGTAAAGGAGGGAAGCTGGTAATTGAAAAGGTTTAATGCAGACCACCTTTTCCAGCACCTTTTAAAGACCAATTCCTGCCCCAAATGCTCTGTTTTTATTTAACCCAGAAGACTAGAATTAAGCCTCAGACCAACAACAAGTATTCCTCCTCTTTCTCCTCCTCTTCCTTGTGCTGCAGAAAGACCCTAGAAATCATCTGCAGGCCTCTAAAAATAGGTATTTTTCTCAGTTTAGCCTATTCTGTGTTCCTAGGGCAAATGTTACTTCTACCTCCAAAATTCTGTCTAAGGAACATGTTGTTTTGCTCTAACCTGACAGGAGATAACCTTTCTTTGCCACCTCCCAACCTCCACAACTCTCCAAGATACACCAACACAGATTCTTTTTAATACTTGTGGCTGGCAAGTCAAGGTTCAGTGCACAATTCCCAAAAATCATGTGGCTTTTGAGTGAGTCACATCAGCAACGTTACCCTTCCCTTTGCATTTGGACTCCTACATATGCCATGGTTTGCTGCAAAGCCAGAGTTCATTTGCAGAAGGTATCAGCATCATAATCTTGGGTCATGAAGAAATAAATTAACAGTTTGGGATCTTTTAATTGTTACAGTCATACTTACATGGACTCTTTGTGGAGTGCATGAAGCAAGCACTGAGGCGATCTGAGTGGCTTTGTGTTTCTTCCATCTCCAGTTACTTCTGATATTCCCTCAAAATGGTCTGTCTAAAAACCTCCAGAAGTTCACTTGCTGTTATCATTTTAAATAAAGATAAGTAAAGCTTTGGGTTTGTTTTGTTGTTTTCCCTCTTTACCTACCTTCCCAATTCTCTCTGGACTTAAAACCTAGGTGGCAGCAGAGAAAGAGTCTGACTTGACTCACTCAATTACAATATGTACAGCTTTGCATCAATCATTCAAGGAATCATAGGGCCAATAGCATGAAAGTTAGGGGAAAAAGCAGAGTTCTTTAATACTGGCAATTTCTTTAACATCAGCTATTAACTTTACGTCAGTCGCAGCAAGCCTGTTATTTTTAATAGAAAGTTCTGTTTTCATTCCCATCTCTCTTGTCAGCTGAGGGCTGAGGGGAGGAAGGCCCCAAGGCTGCATTTCCTGAAACACACACACACACACACCTGAGTGGGAGTCGAGTGGGTTTTCTTTACTGACAACACGTCAGCCGGGAGAGGGAGCAGGAGAGTGAAACAAGGTACAAAGCAGGAGCTGGGAGAGAGAGGTACAGCTCCTCAGCCTCAACTCTTCACTCAGTCTTTGCATCAAGTGAGGATTTGTCATCTGCTGCATGATTTAGCCTCTCTTAGAAGCTCCCTTCTTTCTTTCCTGGACTAGAATAGAGCTGTTTTAATTTCCCCCCGTGTTATAAAAGAAATAATGTCATATGTTAATGTCCTGGAAATAAAATATGATGATTATTCAACAAAGAATCAGGTAACAGCAAGGGTTTGAGTAGTTAATATTCAAAAATATTTATTTTTCAGTTGTTCATGATATGTGTCAAATTCTTGGTTACACCAAAAGAATTGTAACAAACAGCATCACAGTGACAAATAATCAAGCCATAAGAGTGCAGTTTATTACAACTGTGTAAACAAAAAGAAGTATTTTTGTAATGGCACTGTCCATGAACTAGATTATGGCATATAGAATCTCAGCAAAAGTCAAGAGAAACTTTCACAAAGAAAACAAACCCCCAAATTGAAGCAGAATATATGAACGTGGCCAAAATGGCCCAATCCACTTTTAATCAGAGAAAAGAGTGTCCCCAGAATTTTTGCTTGGCTTGTTCTTAAGGAAATTAAATCTTCATTGTTTTCAAGGCATCAATCCAGCACATGAAGTAGTACTATTATTGAATAATATTAATAAAGAGCAAACATCTTTTAATTATGACAATGTGAATACCCCTACTGTTACATTATTAAGGAAGATGAGATGATTTGCGAATGTTATTGCCTGTATAGCATGACACCTTTAAAAGATATTCCTTAGGAAATAAAAATAAGTTACTGAGAAACAAAATCCAAAGTACACCATCAAAGAAACATTTTTGTGCATAAATATCAAAAAAGTAGAATTTTATTTTTATGCAATGGAAGTAAACAATTTGATTATAATACAAGGTACGTACTGTAAACTGTAGGATGCACTTTGAACTTAAAATATACTCATCTCAAACATATTTTACATATCAGCATCTAAAATGGGATTAAAAAAATTTAGGGTTTTTTTTTTAGATCATGCATTAGTTACAGCTTGCTTGCTGGCCACAGTTTTGCCAGCAGCCTTTTAGTGTTCTGCAAGATCCTCTTAATAAAAACACACAGGTCTGAATTCCACTACATTTTACACATGTACCTTTCATACAGGAAGATTTGCATGTGTTCCATTTGCAGAGAGTAGGGTCCTACAACAGCAGGAGGTAAAGACAGAGCAACTAAGGTACAGTTATTAAGAAGTATTGGACAGCTGGGAGTACATAATATAATTACAAGCTGGTATCTTCAGTTTCCAGAAAGCTATACATTTGTTTGTTCAAAAAAAAAAAAAAATAGACATCCAACATGTGTTTACTCACATGCTGACATAGAGTTCATGCAAACAATTAAAAAAAATTACCCATGTTATCCTTCAGAAATGCTGCTTATAGTTCATCCTCAAATAACCTGAGGTCCCCTCTGAAACAGCAGGGGCCTGATGTGCAGATTGACTCAAGCAAAATGTAATTGCTTCCTCCACACTGAGACATGAACAGAAGTATCAAACAGATTTCATTGAATTGGGCTTCATTTCAAAACTATTAGGTCCAAATCCAGGTTCACTTGTCATTAAGCAATAATACCTTATTTAATACCTTAAAAAAATAAAGTTATTTTCTTGGAGGAAGAACATTTTCTTCATAATAGCCTGGATTTACTACATTTCCAGCTGGATCATATCTAGCCACCACAAACGTTGAGCCATCACTAGCAGATGCCTTTCCAACTCCCATCTTTTTTGTGTTCTTCCAAACCATTGCTGTAAAGTGACCTGAAGAAAGAGAGAGAAACATAAACATTCCCTTTAGATACTAAATCTGTAACATTTCCTTTAACATGTGAGGTGCTGGGGGAAAAAAGGACAATACACAGCTGCTTCTTTGTGTAACATGAGAAGGACATGAAAAGGAACCCTACCTGTAGCATTTTGTCTTGAAAACCCCTAACCTGACTTGTTTTCACACTACTATTCCCATTTCCATGTTCTGTATCCAAATAAGAACATGTAGCAGGAGAGTTGTGGAAGGAGTAGTTTGGTAAGTATCTGATGTAAAATTTGACAGAGACATCACAGTCTGTACTCCCTGCAGTATGAACAGCAGTTCTGGGAGTGACTATTATTCATTTGCTTTAACTGCCTCATACTCCCCCATGTGTTTGCATGTGCAACTCTTCAAAAACCCCACAGTTTCTGTGGCTTCTTCTGTCTAGTTTAATAGCCACCCCCACATTGTTGTTCCCACTATGCATAGGCAAATCCCAAAGTCAGGGAGAAAAGTGTCATTTTCTTAATCTGAAACAAGGTCAGGTACCTTTCTTGCTTGAGCATTATTTGAGGAACAACATTCATTTTGCACTAGGTTGTTAATATGCAGCCAACAACTTAGTTCCTAGTTCTTGTTCCTGGTCTCCAAATTTTAGCTGAAGTGATCTCTGTGAGTGGAGTGATATAACTCAGCAGAAGTCACAGGTCAATGTAAACAACACCACAGTACATTTAGTGAAACTCCTATGGGATTCCTATTCAGTATTTCATACAAATTAATTTACCTTAAAAATAAGTTGCCTGTTCTAAACTTTGAAGTCAGGGGAAAAATACAGTACTGAAAAAAACCTACAAATTTTGCTTATTTTCAGATTTTTCAGGTTTTTTTACACTTTTGTCAGTTTTTAGCATAATAGTAGAAGTTTCATTTTTGAAGAGACAGTTTCCAGTCTGAACTTACCTGTCCTAGAAGAAAACCCTGGGTTTTGAAAGCTGTAATTTTTTATTTCACTGTACCATCTGTCAGCCACATCTTTTCCTGAAAGACAAAAGAAATGTGCTGCAGAATCACGACATAAACAGAAAAGTGTAGCTCTTACAGCCTGGCCAGTAGGATCTTCTGTAACTTTCAGCTTGGAAGGTAATGAAGACACATTTCCCTCATCTTGGATAAGTGCTCCTGTCAGCAGGCTTATTGATACAGCTCTCACCAGCTTCTTCTTCCTCTTGAAATGTGTTTGAAAATGCCTAAGTGTGCCAGGTTTTCTAAGCAAAAGGTCACACCTGTGGATGTTTACCCCTTCCAGCTCCAGGTAACCCAAAGAAAAGTTAAATTTCTGATGTCTCTTTAGTTTCCTGTGTTCTCGCCAGCATTGAATATTTCTGATTTCTGAGTTCATTTATTTTTAGTGGTTTCTACCTTGCACTAAAGCCATTGTGAAGGTCCATTTTGAGGCACTGTAATCTGGGGTACTACAGAAACCTCAAATATTCATACTTAGGAGCTGCTTCTGTGTGGAAGCCTGTGTGTCCAGCATTGTCTCATTCCATCCAAGGCTTTCCCTGACAACAGCTGTATGAGGACCATGACTACAGCCAGGGATGTAGCTCAGACCAGAATCTGGAGACGCAGTGCAGACAAATGTCAAATGTTACTTGTTTTCCATTACTGGTTGTTAGGAAATTCTTGTGCCAAACACTGGGGGGACAAGAGGGGTCAGGTTTTTCCCTGAGCAACCTCAATAATTAAATTTCTGCTTAGCATTCCAGGATGTATCATCCACACAAGGCCAGGAGATTTCAAAGCAAGCTGCCAAAGCTGTTAAGCCTGACATCATGAAGAATGCTGGTCCCTGGTGGACTGCTGGCTGCAGAAGAGCAATGAGTCATGCTTTGCTATTTTGCAGCAAAAAGTCTTAAACTTGTGCACTTCTAGAAGTCAGACACTGTGTTAATTTCTTTAAACTTCAGTTTGTTATGACTGAAGTCAGCTAAAAGGATGATGATGTTAGCCTGGCAAGCTGGTTGTCAGAGCCCTAGCTGATAAGCAAATATTCAATGAAATGCTTTCTTTAGAGAGGTTTATGAACTTGAAGTACTATGAACTTATACGCCACACTGGTTGTTAGGAATAGTGCTTAGTAGAATAAATATTTTTTTCTACATAAAAAGGTAACAAAACATCTCTTGCCTCCCAAAGTAAAAGTTTCAGGAATAACAATCGGTTTCTTCTTTTCTTGCTCTCCTTGCACCAGAAAAACAAACCCAGTAGTCCTGTATTATGGTTGAAGTATGTTACACTTAGTTATTTGTTCATTTCTTACTCACATTCAAGCTAAAATGAAGATTAAAAGAAAGTGCAAATAGTGACCTTTATGCAATACGAGGGGAAAAGAAAAAGCACATAGTAAAATCCACACAACAAACCAATCAGATCATGCTGTCCCACTCTAGATTTCATAGCTATGAAGGATTTAGATGGGTTTGTGGTAAGCTGGCTGTAACAGAAGTACAGAAGGTGACTGCCAACATATCAGGCCTTATGAAGCCCATGTATTCTACGTGTACTAGTGCTGAAGTGACTGTACTACATAAGCAGGATTTTAGCAGATGTCTCACTGCTGCCAGCTTTTTATTCCCTCTGGTAATGTATCAGTGGGATATGGTAGAAACAGTATTTAAAGAGAAAGTCACCCCCACTCTGCTTACTGTAGCTCTGAGAAGTGTGCCTAGGCTGCATGTGACAGAACTTAAAATCTCCATAATGCAAGTAATGCAGGGCAGATGGAAGTTTTGACAAACACAATATCTCTTAATAATTAATTTTTTTTTAATTTAAAGAATACTATCATTTGAAAAATTGTTTGCTTAATTCAAGGGAGATAGCAATGACATCAGGTAAGACTGCCTCAGTCCTGTACCTGAAAGACAATGAGCATAGTTGGACAGCACAGTCTATCATGTGTTAACTCCCAGCTTTCAAGGATGACTGAGGCCAGGCAGTTAAAGCTGAGAAGCTGATCACTATTCTCCATTTTTCACATGCAGGATCAAGTTTTCATTACATAGCATTGCTGTCATCATCCTTGAATTAAGAGAGTCATGGCCTCATAAACGGTGAGAAAATAAAGACTGGCTTTTTTCCAGCAAAAGAGAAGGTCACCAAAGGACTAGGCAACTTTTGACAAACTGTGTCTTGAAATCATGTTAAAGAAGTGTCCTGTAAGTGAAGGGAATGAATGGTATCTGTCACATGGCACAGGAAGTGAGAGGGAATCCAATGTGGAAGCTATTACCTCGTGAGAAGACAGGTAGGTACCTAGGGATTAAACAGTCTCTCTTTCCTTTGAAATATTTTTCTTCTGATTCTTTGCCCTTTGTGGAGCAGAAAAAAAAGGGCCCTGGTGGGACACAAGGCGAACCAGTGTTGAAAGTGACAGCTGGCACCTAGGGGACCAAGGAAAACCCCTGTTTTGAACCCAGTGACCTCCAGGCTTCCAGAGAGAAAACAGCACAAGGGTCAGGAGTGCCCTGAGCCTACCTGCTTTAGCAGCAACTTGCATCCCCAGACTTACTGGTTCAGAAAACTGACCACAATATTTCCATTTAAATGTATTATGGAATAAATGATGCAGTCATATTTAGAGTCTGTTTTGATTGCTTTTCACTGTTGTGTTGAGAACAGCTCCCCCTGCTCCCAAAGTTCCCCCAAAGCAAAGGAAGTTGGTTGCTGTTCACAATGCTTTTCAGTCAGAAGGAAAAATACACAGAAAAGAAATTGCTCACATTCTTCATTCCTGATCAGAGCAGAAATGATAAAGTTTACTCCTCTCAAGAGGCACATGGATCTGCCCTGCAGTCAGAGCTGCAGCTTCTCTTCTGTTGCTCTGCTTGTAGAACTGATTAATAAATATTCTGCTGGGCTTTTTTTATCACCCTTCCTCTTTGCACTGCTGTAAACTGCACTCAGAGTTTCAACACTTTCACTATGGAAACACAGTTTGACTCCACCCTTGTCCCAGTGAGAGACAGCTCACTGATGATCTGCTCAGCTAGGCTTACTCGATGTTCATTTCAGAACAGGCTGAATCTCACTCTAATGAGTTTCAGTCATGATGGACAATCTTCCTCAGGTGAAAACTTGGTGCAACAATCCTTGAACTAATGTCCAAGTATAGTTTTGCCCAAGACTGGGACCAGAACCAGCACAGTGATTTGATTTCACTTACACAAGGTACATGCTTGCAATGTGGCCACACTGACTGTGCCTCAAGCTTCCTCCAAGGGTCAGAGGAGTGACCATGTGGGCTCAGTCCACATGTAGGACTAACAGTCTAAATAATGTCCCCCCTGCATGTGAGCAGTGACCTGGCCATGCTCTGCATCTCATCAGCTCTGCTGTTGTCTCATTAAATGTCATTTTTAGCTATTCTCCTGGGTGAGGAGCTCCATTCTGTGTAGATATTGAGGGTGTGAGTGCCAACAACTGGTACCAGCAGTTCTGGTCAGCAGGCAGGGACCTGTGTGTATGAGATGCACTGTGCTGGTGACTGGAGTGGAACTTCAGCCTCAGGGTATGTCCAGGTGCAAGCTACTGGTGAGATCAGGATCCAGGGACAGCTACTGGGCAGACTGAGTGTCTGAGCTCAGTTACTGCTGGGATCCACACTGGAATTATATTTCTATTTTATATATATATATATAAACATATGTAATTTAACACCATAGAATATACATTATATCTACTTTTAAATAATTTACTGAGAAATAGATACTTGTATTTTGATATACTATATTAATTTATTTATATATACTCCAGTAATATATATTGGAACATATATTGGAATCATCTGGAAAAGGAAAGAGGAAGAGGCCACTGGTGCTGTTCATTTAAATACTGACTACATCTGTTTGTGCTGCTCTACACATAAACACATGTCCGTGATATATGTGTGTTTGTGTAAGGCTGGAAACACATTCCCAGCCTGTGCAAGACTGGACACACATTCCCAGCCTCATCATTTGGAACACAATGCTGTGGCAGCCCTATTCCTGTATTCAGTTCCCCTCGACATTTAACTTCTCTGGGCCCAGCCTGTTTCTCCTCATACCAAAGAAAGCTTAAATCCTCAAGTAAGCCCACTAAGTTGCCAAAAACATTCTAATAGAATCACGCAGACCATATTTCTCTGCAAATAGGCGGCACCTTGGTGATCCACTTAAAAACTAAGTTTTCACAACATTCCTTCCACCAGTCTGAGGGGAAAGAGGGTGGATTTAACATGAACTCTCTCTAGAGATCATAAACCATAGTACTTCCACCAGCAACAGGGCAGGTTCTTCTCAGCCACACCAGCCATCCCAAACAGAATTCAGACATCCAGTACTTGCCTGCAGCCCCCAACACATGAGAAATGAGATGAGGCATCCTGAAGCCTGACATAGCACAGCTGCCAAGGCAGGCTGCAGTCTCTGCATTAGTGGCAGATGACAGCTCACTTATTTGAACACAGACAAAGAAAAGTCTGCCACAGAGCAGTTCCTGCAGGACTGGAGGGAGGAAACAGCTGTCAACTCTTTCTTGGATTACAGGGATAAACATATTTCTAGCAACAGCTTTAGGCTATGTAACTCTAAAATCCTGAATAGAATTCAAGGTATTCTTGTACCAGGAGAGGAGTCATATTAGAAGGCTTTATGGTTGAAAGCTTAAGCCTTCCTTGAAACAAGAAATGTATCTTCTGGCATTATTACAGAACTCAGCAAGAGTCAAAATAAACAACACCATCACTTTCTGAGAGAGAATACAGAGTATTCTAGAGGTTTATTGAGTCTTGCTTTATCTGGGAAAGAAACCAGAAGACACTGCCTGCCTTTGTTAAGCCCCTGAATGGATGTCTTAATCCAAATTTCTGCCTCATTGAGCAGGGTACAAATTAACTATCCAGCGAGAACTATAAGAGAAAAAGAGGAAGAATGAACCAACTCAACAGAGGTGAAGACTAAGCCTAGATGAGAAAATAACTTCCTTTGAAGAACTAGCTTTCCCATTCTGGTACTTGTGATCCTGATGCATTGGAAAAGTAGAAATGTTTCACAGAACAAAAGAGGATGTAGCTTAATTTCCTCAACATGGTATTTAATTCTGTGGCTAAAAACCAGCAAAACTTCTCAAAACTGGAAAGTTATCTATGGAAACTGTGCATTGAAGAAAACAGACCACATCCAGAGAAAAGACAGATAGACATTATGTAGAAGGACTTGTGTGTTATGTTTTCCAGCTCTCTAAAAGGGAATTCTGTGGCTTTAACCTCAAGAGAAGGAGCACAGGCCAGTAACACAAACAAGAAAGAGCTAAGCTCAGTCAGTGAGTCATAGCCACTATGCAAACTCTGCCATACATCTGTGTTTTCCCATGCTGCTCCCAATCCTTTCCTCACACCCTTGCAAAGGACAGAATGCCAAATATGAGCAGATCAAATTGTATTTTTCCACCATGGGTTTCTTTTTCAACAGGAAAACTGGGACTAGAGTTGGCACTTGAAGAGGAACCAAACAGCATCCCTGGGACTAAAACTCACTAAAATTTCCAGGTCCTTCAAACAGAGCCTCCAGCCTACAGAAATGAGCTTCTGTTTCTTTGGGGCTGTGCTGGAAATTCCTGGGGTAGATTGGAACAAAGAAAGCAAGTGGTCACTTGTAATACAGCCCACCTGCTGTCCCAGCAGGCTGAGGCATGAGCCCTGCTCACTGGAAGGAGGCAGGAGGGAAGAACCTGCTGAATCTCTCTGAGGCTGAGGGCTCACTACAGGCTGTCAGCCTGACCAAAATTCAGCTCCTGGGGCTCCCAAACCAAAGGCTCCCAGTTACAAATTACAGTTACAATCAGAAAATACATGGAGTAAAATAGTCTTCAAAAATGTAATAATGAAAAGGGCTTAAAGCTGTTTGCTGACAGAGTGGAAGATATTAGTGGAAGGACATTAGCCACTGTTACTTTGGTGTCCAGTCCCCTGCTTTTGCCCCCACAAACAGGAACTGCTGTGCAGTGTGCAAGAGACATTTTTCCCCTTCCCTGACCACAGCTGGGCTGTGGGCAGACCTCTCTTTGGCTGGGACAAACTAAGGACAAAGGTGAAGTAGGGGCCATTGTCAACTTCCTTCTCTCCTGCATGGACCCACAAGCACCACTAAAGACAGCTCCACAGCAGGGACACAGGGAGCAGTGTGGCTGCCAAGTCCTCCTTCCAAAGGGACATAACACACCATCACAGTCCCTTACTCCCTCTGTGCCCACATATGCTGCTTGCTCTCAGGACACACAGGTGGCTGCAAACCACCAGCCTGTCCCCAGGGAGCTTGGGCTGGGCTACGCTGGATACATTTTTGAAGTAGAGGAAACTCCAGCACTCTTGCTACCAGATACAACCCAAAGTACTTGAGATAAGGCATTTATCAGGTGTCTGTGAGACAACAAGAGAAAAGAGCTCACCTGATTGGTCATAGGATGCCCATGCTAGGTTTTCTCCACAATTCCCATTAGCAGACTCGGAGCTGTGCTTGAGGACTCTTGTGGTAGCCAGTTCTTCTGCATACCTAGCAAAGGAATCCACACATTGAGTCAGGGACCACAGGTGCAATGAGCAGAAAGGAGGAGGAACAGGAGGAAGAGAAGGATATTCAAGGAAGGAATTGTGTTGGAAGATGACGGGTTTAAGTCAAGTTGCAAAGCCCTGAAGACAGAGATGCTTTAAGGTTACATAGATCAATGAGTTAGGGAAAGGAAAAACACATTTTCCCTGTCTTTCATGAGCATCTGTATAAATTCTGAGAAGGGCCTAGGAGAAATCAAAGGGCAGATCCCCTTGCACCACATTTAATCCAGCACCTGGAAATCCAGCAGCCATCCTCAGCCACAGCTGCCAGTGGAAAGGGAAGTACCTACAGCAATTGCTACAGGTGCCACCTCCTGGCATTTCTAGGTCCCTCACAGGAGTAAATTAAATCTTCTCAGGGAGACTAGAAAAAAAACAGAAGTGGTAATTCAGTCAAAGCAAGCACAAACCCCCTACATTTACAAATGAAAGAAAAAAAGTCAAATAGAAAAAAAGAGCAATGTACCAGGCAACAAGGTGGAAGACAAGGGGATCACATCTGAGGCAACAACTGTGTAAACCAACACAGAGATAAGCAGCACTGTTTCTATAGAATTTGACATGTGTGCAAATGTGGGATGTATTTTATATTCTTAGAACAATAGGGTTAAGAAGAACATCATGGGTAAAGCAATTACTCTGTTTATTCAGCATTGAAAAGGCTTCAGTACAGAGATAGGGAAATTGGAAAAACCATTTGTTATTTCTTATAGTGGCAACACAGAGTCATCAGGTCATAGATTTAAAATTCAAGTGAAATGTGTTTGAAGTGAGACAAAGCTCTTCTTCAAACTGTGCAACAGAAGTCATTGCCACAGGACAATGCAGGCACCAAAGCACAAGTGAGTGAAAAAGAGAGAGGCAAATTCACAGTGTATGGATGTGGGGAGGAATCTTCACAGCATATTAAACAACAGCAACAAATAAATGAGAATACAACTTACTGCTTAGGAAAATGGTAATTTCCAGAAGAAGATAATGGGGGAAGGATCACATTTGTTTTGTCCTCCTACTCCTTCCCTAATCATGAATTACTGGCATCTGCCAGAGACACGAATTTTGCACAGCTGAACATTTTGACCCAAGCTAGCACTGCAGTCATTAGGTTCCAATTTCCTTCTGCCCTAATCCACTCACCAAAACAAAAAGAAGAGTAATTAGCTACATCCATTAATTTAGAAATAATGAAAACTTGTCAGTTGTCAGTTTGCTAGATCCTGGACTAGAGGATCTTTAGATGCTATCTCTACAGTCCTGTAATTTTCCTCAGGATCCTCATATCCCAAGTTAGAGGCAGGACTGAGACTAAGTACACATTGCAGGTGGATGAAGCTGCCAGGGATTTGAGACAAAAGGTGATTAATCCACTCCAGCTCAGGCAGCTGAAAGCATGAGATTTTCATCTGAGATCATCACCCTATGCTTCATTACAGTCAGAGATAAACAGACACCTGCTGAGGCTGACTCATCTCATGTTGAAGCAGGGATCCAATAGTCAGTTCACCTGTCACAATGACTGAGCCTGAAAATAGTAGGAAACATACCATTTTCAGCTCAGGTAGAGAAGCACAGAAAAGCACCCAGAGAGAAAAGCATCCAAATACATACCAACCAAGGTTATATATAGAATATACCCAAAGAAAAGGTGAAGTTCTTCTTTTAATTTAAGAATATACAAAATCTGTCTTGAAAAATATGAGATTTCTTAAATTTCATGTCTTTTAATTCTTACAAGTTAAGTTATAGACCTCAAGCAAAGAGAGGTTTCCTATTGTTGTTCATTGCAGCAGGGCATCAGCTGAGACCAAAGAGGGTTGTGAAGAATTTCTGAAGGATCTAAAAATACCCAGCAAGGGCAACAGCACACTCAGAGATAAATGTGGAGCAATGCACATTTGATAGAATAATCTGAACTATTCATACAAGCTGACTTGTTCAAACTAGTGTTGCACTTCTGACACTCAACAAGTGCTATTGACAAGTCAATGAAATCTCTTCCTCACTGTGAGCATGAAAAACAGATCAACAAAAAAAAAAACCCTTAGAAGAACAGAAGGAAAGTCCCAGCAGATTACAAGGTTGGTGAATGAGTCACTAGCATTCCACATTTTAGAAATACTGTATCCAGTTATAATGGTGTCTCAAGGAAAAAAAAAAAGTGAAATCACCAAGATTTTTCTGGGTGCCAGAGGTCATGTCCATTTGCCATTTACATGGTGTGTTGTACAGCACAACACCTGGGAGAAATCTAGGAGTCAGGAGCCAGTTCATCTCTGTGACATCTATGTCCCATCATGCTGGGACAATAGATAAGGTTCTGGAAAGACTTCAGCTTTTCTCTCTCCAAATCACCCAGCACAAAGAAATCTGCCTGGTTATGGTAGAAAGCTAATGGGAGGAGATCTTATGTCTAGAGTAGGGATCAAACTGCCTACCATTCAGTATAATTTATCTTTTGAATAGTTTATTCAGCATTTACTCCTTCAGTTGTCTCCTTTGTACTGTGAGGATCATCATTAAAAAAATAATTGAAAAATTTTAAATCTACTTTTTGAAAAAGATTGCTGTGAGAGAAAGGAATTAATATGGTTATCATAACTACAGTAAAGAGGAAAAGCAGTATGGGACTCAAATTTCTGTAAGGAAGACTCAAGTCAAAGAGCAGGGAGGTGGATTCACTGTATGTTAGACTGAGAAGTTGTGCAGTCTTCAACACTGGAGTAGAGGCAAGATGTTTCCTTCCTGACAGAACAGAGAACATATAATACTTTAACTTTTGTGGCTGGGAGATAGATAAATTAATCTGAAATTACTTCCTCCTGATTCCACTCATCTTAGACCAGTCACCACTTCTTACCATGAAAAAGTTCTTTTCTCACTATTTCAGCAGGAGTAGATCTTCTTCTGCAGATGACAATCTCTCATCTGACAGAAGTGGTGGTGAAGCATGTTTTAGACAACGGCCCTCTGCAGAGGACACCTACCAGTGCAGAGAGATGTGGTCTACATCTGAAAAAGGCTCCAAGAAAGATTTGTACAGTTGTGACCACATGTGTCCAAGTGACCAGTGAGACAGAGTGAAAATTAATTTCTACTACTGCTATATGATGGTAAAAGAGGGATGAAAGAGTACAGTCCCACACTATCTACTCAGTAAGTCTTCACTGGTTATCAGCATGTAAAAAGGCAAATATCTTTGCAGTAAACACAGTCAAGCCTAACAGATAAAAGTGTCACAAATTTCATTAGAGAAAAGAAAGGACTGAACTCACTGTTGGGCTCCTCTGTTTAACTTCTTGCAGAGTTTTAATGGGGGCACTCCATGTTTCTTCCTGTAGTCATTGTGTACTTTCAAGACTTCTTCAGCAAATTGTTTGGAAGCTGAAAGCACATTAAAAAATTGGAAAGGCATGTCAAATACAGACATTAGTGATAACAGAAAAGGCATACTCTGAACCCAAGCCTGGACAGAAGAACACAGGGGTGCCATTATCATTACAGGCAGCAGGATGAAAGGAACCACTGACTTCCATCCAAAACCAAACTCTAACAGACACTCCCATTGGGAAGCTACAGACTCACCAAAGGTTGAAGAAAACTGTGATCATTACTGCTTTCCTCGATAGCAAGGTGACTTAAGGTTACTCAATCAGTTTGTCAGTTTAAAACCAAAATCAGTTTGACTGACTTTCATTTTAAGCTCTCAGTGCACTTCATCACCATTCCAATTTCAGAGTAAGCAACAAATGACTCCTCCAAGGAGATGCATTAAAAATGCAAATGATTGTCCCTCCATGCAAGAATTGTCTGTATTAGTCAGGGCACCACCTAAAGAGAATGAAGATACTAAAATATTTATATCTCTGCAAGTATTTGGAAACATGCACCATTCTTCTAATTAATTTTATAGTACAAATTCATAGAAATCTCAAAATGCACCTTTATTTGGCTCAAGACAAATAAATGTTCACAAACAGGAAGTGGTAAGGAAAGAAACAACCTCTGTGGCATGGGTTTTTATATTTACTAATGATTCATCAGCTTCATTTCTGAATATCTCAGTTAGCATAACTACCATAATTTTCCTTGTAAGGCACTTGGGAAACCCAAACATTTTATGACTAGAAAGAGTTTCCTGTTATTAACCTTAGATTTCTCAACTTCCTCTCACTCCTTGATCCTGACAACTAAAATCAATCATTCTCTGCTGTATTATATTCTCTTCCACTGTTTTTAATTATGCACTTTCCCCACAATAGAGCTGTCAGTTTGCACACACTGCCCCCAGAACTTTTTCCTAAGGTGATTACTCAACTTACTCCCATGCTTTAGGCTGCTCTTAGAGTTCTCTCCAGTTCCTCAATAGCACTGGGATAATACAGCAGCCTAAAATAATCTCAGTATCCAATGCACACAAGAAAGCCATTACAGTTTCATGCAGTACCTTAAATCTTTTGAACACAGTCTGAAGTTGGGTTGGCTCTTTCCTGATGAAATTGTCATTGTGGACATATATCTAATATATTCTCCATAACATGCTTTCAGGATTTTTTTGGTATCAGTTTGTTGGTATAACACAGCAGCCCTGCTGAACAGGGTGACATCTGCCCACCACCTTCCTCCTCTTCAGTTATCCCTCAATTTTGTGTATCACAAGTTGCAAATCATGAGGAAAACAGGCACCTCCATTCTGGTATTCAAGCACACAAACTCCTTTTTGCTAATTAACCTGTCCCATCAATCTTGTTACCATTGCTCACAGCTCACTGATTCTATCAGGCCAGAGTCTCATCTGCTCTGTTACAGAGGTACCAATTTCTACAGCATCTATGAGAAGTCACTGAGGAAAGCAAGCCTACCCAATTCACCCCCTTCCCTGATGCAGGGGGTCCAAGCTTCCAGCAAGGAAATATTAAGACAGCCAACAAATTAAAGACATTGGAAAACACAGCTTTGAAAGTTTCGTCACACACTCCAGACTACTTTTTTTTTTCTCTTGAGACCATGCTAAACTTGTGCCTGTTATCACCTAGACTTAATATCTCACCCACTCAGCACTGAAATAGTAGATAAACAATCTGACCTGCAAGTATGGAAGTTTCTATCCAAAAAATTAGCTCTCAATGACAACATCAAATAGAAATTCTAATTTAAAAAAAAAAAGTCAACTGAAATACAGATTTTGTCAGTGCTTAGTCCATAGATTAACAGAAATACTGCATAATGTAGCTCTGTACAAACTTTTTGACTTACGAAGAGTAACAAGTCATGGACAAAACTGAGTTGCTTCTAGCTGCAACAGGCACTGCTATGCTGTCCCTGGAGAACCTCCATCCTCCCTTCCCCTCAAAGGTGGCTGCTATAGAAAAGCTTATCTTCTGTGACTCAAGCTCATGTGCTAACCACCTCCCTCTGTACAGCTTTTCCCATGCCTGATGATGTGTGGAGAGGGACGCCCAAGTGCCAGATATATTTCAGATTTGTTTCAGAATGCATGTTAAGTTTTTCCATTTTACCAGTGTTCCATACACTGAGAAGCCAGGCATTAAAAGTGAGAGTTAATGGGAGTTTTCAGGCTCCCACCCAAATGGGAACAGCTTCCCAAACAGCTGTGGAGACATACTTCTTTCTCTTCATGTAAACTGCTTAAGCTGCTAGAAAAAAATATTTTCTACTGCCAGAGAGTTAAGTTTGGTCATGAATCATTACACACCTTAATAAGTTAAACAGCTGAAGGTATTAGATACAGTTGCTTGCTCCTCAATACTCAATTATTTGGCTCTATTTCTTATTCTTCTGGAACATTGGCTAAGATAATGGCAGCATGTGACAATGAATTTCTAGGCTATGATGTGGTACACAGCATACCTTACAGCTGTTCTGCTCTTGGACTTCCAGGTTCATTGATCAGCCTGTGTGACAGGGAAAAATAGGCAGAGGAATCTAGGTTGCCTTTTCCCATCACATTTGTTTTTCAGAGAATTCTGTTTTTCAATTCTTACTGTCTCTAAGCAGGGCCAATCTACACAGCCTCTCTTGCATGAAGAGCTCTTAATGCCTGAATCCATTCAGCCTCTTGTTAGAGCTGTCTTCTCCTGCCATTCCTACTTTAGTTTGGGCACCAAAAGAAAGGTGAGTTACCTGAACATGTGTTTCACAACACAAGCTGCCCTGCATCACCTTTGCAGCTGTCAACTGCACCTCCTCCACTGCTCTGGTGGAGCCACAAGATGGTAACAGGGAACTGTTCCACAAAGCACCAAATTCCTACACAGCAGAAATGCTGTGGGTAGCCTTTACCTCAGCACTCAGGACACACAACATTACAGCAGGAACGCACACATGACTAGCAAAACAAGCATATATTTTTATGCCTAAGTATCCACCCTGGTGACTCAAATATGAGCCCTGTATCAATCTCCAGAGGAATTGTTTCTTTTCAGTGTTTTCTGCCCTATTGTTTATGGATTAATTTTCACTGGTAATGTTTTACTTTCCATAAATACTAAGTTTTTCTGTTTAGCCTTCAAATAATTAATATATAATGCTATCAACAAAAGAGAGTTGGGACTGTTCAGCCTAGAGAACACAAAGCTTTGGGGAGACCTTATTGTAGCCTCTGCTTAAAGGAGGCTCTTATAAGAAAGACAGAAGCAGACAATTTATTACGGTCTGTAGTGATAGAAAAAGGGGAAATAGGTTTAAAATAAAAGAATTCAGGCTAGATGTATGGAACAATTTTTTTATGATGAGGGTAGTGGAACACTGGCACAGGCTGCCTAGAGAGGTGGTGAATAACCCATCCCTGGAAACATTCATGGTCAGGTTAGATGGGGCTCTGAGCAACCTGATGTAGTTGAAGATACGCCTGCTCTGGGGTTTGTATTACAGGACCTTCAACAGTCTCTTCCAACCCAGATTGCCCTATGTTACTATGAAACAAACCTCATTCAGAATCCTACAGCAAAATGTACCATTATGTCTGTCTCAATCTCTCTTTGAATCACGACAGAGGCCTCAAAGTTTTCACCCAATGTGTGCATTAGAGGTAAATTGAGATAATGACCTCACCTTTCAATCTTCCCTCAAAAATAAATACCTAGAAATTTGCTCTTCTATTAACAGGACACTGCATGTTACTTCCATGTTACTCTTTCAGGCCCAGAACCCAGGCAGAAAGAAACAATCTTGCTTCCAGCCAGGCCACGACTAATTTTTGCAATAGCCAGGAGGGAGCACAGCTAGGACCTGGAGATTATTCTATACCACCTCTCATGATTTTCCAGGAATGGGAGAAGGGGTCTCTTCCATGTCAAGGTAGTGTGGCACAATCAGCTATTTTAGGCTCCGAGTGGTAGTGAGTATTTGCATATGAATCATTCACCTGTCTTGTACATTTTTCTATTTATATTGTTACTGTTTGTTTTCTTCCTGTTTCCAGTAAATAGTTTCTCTTTGCTGTTTCCAGTAAATTGTTCTTACAAGTCTTTACTTTTTGTTTCTCCAGTTCTCCTCTCCAGCCACCCATGGGAAGGGGGAGAGGAGATTGAGAGAGCAGTGCATCATTTGGGGAGGTTTCAGCAGGAACACTAAACTGGAGAAAACCATTCCTAAACCACAACAGAAGCCAAGTGCCAGAATACATGGAGAAGAGAGATGCACAGTAGATAGAAAACACATAAAAGGTAATTAAATGATCATTTAAACACTGAGTTTAAAGCTCTGCTTTAAAACTGAAATCCCTTCAGTCTTCCTTGATTCCACAGAACTGCTCTACTGTACCCTGGAAGCACAAGTTATGGTTATGGTTATGGAATAAGAATGCAGCAAATACATCTTTTAGTATGCCCAACAGGTTTGTGGAAAAAATTAATTGCAATGAGAAGCTTTAGGGAACTGTAAAGTAACTACATCAAAAAGTCCTTTGTTACTGTCCCAGGTAAGTGATACTTCTATTGTGACAAATGCCTCAAAGCATATTCACTGACTGGAAACAAACAAAAATCTCAAGTAAAAGAGATCCCAGCTTCTAAAGACCACATTTGCATCTAGACTCTTCTAAGAGAGCTGACATTTATTATTAATCTTTATCCATACTTAAAACGTAACTCTCTGGAAAGCATCCCTAGCTGAATCTTTCCCACTGTGAGAATAGCATTCCTTCTATGGAGAAGTGATGGATGTCTAACTGATATGAGAAATGCTAAGAAGACAGTCTATGTTCCACTGCACTTTGACTCAGCACTTTGGCTTGAAGCCACAAATGCTCCAGGGTGGTCTCATGCTGGCTGGGTCTGCAGCAACAGGGAGTGAATGTTCCGTGCTTCTTTCTCCACGTATTTAACTGCACTTTCTTGCCCCCCATTTGGGAATGTAACATC